AATTGTTTGATTTATTTTGTAAGTAAAATAGTTGTTTTAAAGTGATAATGGATTAAACAAGTAAAACAATCACTAGAGGAAGAATCATAATTGATAAAGATTGAAAAATCAAGATTGAGATAGGAAGACTTGAAGATAAATCAGCAATTTAATCCTTATAAGAGTCCAAATTTGAAGAAAACTCATTTAAAGTTGGATTGAGAAAGTATCCTAAAATATAAGAATTTGACATGTCTTCAGTATTTTAGTCATAACTTTTAAATCCGATATCCAATTGATTTGATTTTTATAGGGTTTGGAAAGAAGACTCAAAGGGCTATAAAAGTGTATTTCACAAAACTTTTGTGAATCAGCCTCTAAATATGTAAAATTCAAGTTTGAAATTTGGACCAATTTTGTACCCGCGTCCCAAAGATTTTATGCACGAGATTTGACTTTACAAGACTTCTTTTTGGAAAGAAATTCTTTCCAAGCCAACCTTGTATCTTCTATCTATACTTAGAATTTATTTTAGTATAAATAAGGGTTCTTATCTAGGAAAAAAGGATTATTATTTTTTTTCTCATGTTTTTATTTTGATTTTAGTTCGTCATGTCTTGCTGGCTTTGATGGGCTGTTTTTTCTTATGGCCCTTTTTCTGCTCACTGTTGGGGCTTCTGGTTCTTGCTTGACGCTGCACTGGTTTTATGGTGCTCTTTGGTTCTGCTCAGTTGGTTTTTAGCTGGACTTCCAGCTGGTTTTATTGTTTCTCCAGCTGGACTTTCAGCTGGTTTTTCAGCTGTTTTTCATGCTTTTGCGCCATTCAGCAGTTCCTTTGGGCCTTGGGCCTATGTAGAAGTTTTTCTTTGTTTTTCTTTTCAAGGTTTATAGCCAACTACGGCCTTCTCTTGGATATTAAAGCTTTGTTTCTTTGCTTCTTGTAATCTTGGTTTTTATCAATGGTATTTGTCTTTTATCAAAAAAAAAAAATATATATCTTGCTAAATGGTTTAGCTAGGATTAGGGGAGGACCTCTCAATGACGTACGATAATGTTATTTACTTATGAGCTTAATTGTATGTGATATTTTGTTAATTCAACTTTTGATTTTTTAGCAAAAATTTTGCTCTATAAAAATCATTGAGTCATTTGTGTCATATACAATGATTACTTGAATTTTCCTACAAGTCAAATAAATGGTTATTTCATACTTAAGTTGATTGTCATTATTTCACAGAATAATATAATTAGATGATTATTTAGGTTCCTAAATAATCTTTTGATTATAAACAAAGGTGTTCTTGTGATATTATTGTTAAATTTGGTGACTTGAATCAATCGACATTTAATTCTTGTCTAAGGTTGAGAAATAAATCTTTAATCATTATTATATGGATTTGAGAGGGAGTACTTGATGCTCTAACATTTTTGTTATACTGTTTTAATTACTTCAATCAATTTTTTTAATTCAATATTCTTTTAAACAAATCTTTGTTACAAGATTATTATAGTATTAGTGTGATTGCTGTTGTTTCCCAAATCCCTAAAGGTTTGACCTCGATCTTTCGAAAAATATATTACTTTGTTCAACCTGCACTTAGGTTTACAATATTAAAGTTGAAGCACCCATGAAGGTGATCTTCTTGAGAGGAAGCACGTGCGAGCCATTGAAGCCTCCTTTGTGAGGAGTTTTCACGAGTTTTAAATCCTTTTGTGTGAACCTCATCTTCCGAAAGAGGTTGTCATACATCACCTCAGACGAACTCCCCGAGTCTACTAGAATCCTTTTCACGTCATATTTCTCAACCTAGAGAGTGATCACCAAGGAGTCTTTATGGGAAGGGCAAGTCCAGTTAGGTCTACGTCAAAGAAGCAAATTGCTTCTGATTCGTGCCGAGGTCATTTGGATTACTGCCCCTACTCTTATTTTCCTCCACTTTCTCAACTTGCCCCAACTTTGAAGATGTGCGGAGTGAATTATAAGTGGGTCGCTCGACTATGCAAGCGTGTATAATCTTGATTACAGTCATTGTCCCTCTGTTGCCTCCTTTACCAAGCCCTTGGTGTCAGTGTTGTCAATGAACTCGCCGAGATGACCTTCTTGCACCAACAGTTCAAGAAATGACTTGTCAACCCTACAATCCTTAGTTAAATGCCCAACGTCCTAGTGGTATGAGCACCGAGAGGTCGAATTCTTGATGGAGGGATCCCCTTGCATCTTATGGGACCACTTCAAAAATGGCTCTTTTTTTATCTTGTAAAGCATCTTATAGATGGGTTCTTTGAAGACAATGTTCACTCCTTTTAAGGACATGTGGCTCAAGGCCGAGGATGGTGCCCTCCTCTTACTAGGGGCCTTTAATCCAATTTCTTAGGCTCGACCGCCTTGGATTTTGGAATGGTGGTCTCCTCCTCCACCTTGGAGTACTTGTTGATGCGAAACATTAGGTCCTTCATGTCTACAAGAGTCTGTTTGGTCTTAATGATCAATTTTTTGAACTCAATTGAGATGCAGCTAAGGGGTGATCTCAATCGAACTATTTTAGCGGTGATAGCATTGAAAACATCAAAAGTATAGTTAATAGCTTAATTGAATAAAGTTAAAAATTTACTTGTAGATCACAAAAATTTACCATGCATGTAGTCTACGATAAATTAAGATTTCCATCAGGTAAACCATAATTTTATTGCAAATAATCAACTATGTTATGAGAAATTCTAATTAATTAATCCAAGTATGAAATAATCAGTTATTTGACTCGCAGGGAATCTCAAGCATTCGATGTATGCAGCATAACGAATTAAGAAATTATACAGAGCAAAAACTTTACTAAAATACAAGAATTAAATCAAAAACATAAATTATACATTAAAAAGAACATTGGATAAAAAAAATTATATTTTATTGAAAGTATCTCCCCTACCTTTAGTTAGACTTTTATCCAGCCATAAGAAAAATATATCAAAAACTAGAAAAGAAAAGGTTGGGAAAAGAATAACCATCCGTCAACAAGTGAGAACTTTTATTTATACGAAAGCCTAGGTATAGATAGGAGATCTAGGGTTGGCTTGGGAGAAATCTCTTTTAAAAAAAAAGTCTTTTTAAGTCAAATCTCGTGCATCAAATCTTGGAGGCGCGGATACCATTTTTGGCCATATTTTGAGCTCAATTTTTGCATAGCTAGAGAGCAATTCATGAAATTTTTGTGAAATACACTTTTGTAGCTATTGAAATTTTTTTTTCAACCCCACAAAAATCAGGTCAATTGAATATCGGGATAAAAAGCTATGGTCAAAATACTGAATACGTGTCAAAGCCTTATCTTCTAGAATACTTTCCTAATCCTACTCTCAATGAGTTTTTTACTAACTTGGACTCTTATAAGGATTAAATTATTGTCTTATCTTTAAATCTACATCTTAATCTTGACTCTTCAATCCTTATCAACTATGATCCTTCCTTTAGTGTTTGCTTCATTTGTCATATTCATTATTACTTTAAATCAATCAAATTACCTATAAAATAAATCAAACAACTAGAAAAACTATCAAACTAAAAAGTTAAGGAATCTNATCTTATAGATGGGTTCTTTGAAGACAATGTTCACTCCTTTTAAGGACATGTGGCTCAAGGCCGAGGATGGTGCCCTCCTCTTACTAGGGGCCTTTAATCCAATTTCTTAGGCTCGACCGCCTTGGATTTTGGAATGGTGGTCTCCTCCTCCACCTTGGAGTACTTGTTGATGCGAAACATTAGGTCCTTCATGTCTACAAGAGTCTGTTTGGTCTTAATGATCAATTTTTTGAACTCAATTGAGATGCAGCTAAGGGGTGATCTCAATCGAACTATTTTAGCGGTGATAGCATTGAAAACATCAAAAGTATAGTTAATAGCTTAATTGAATAAAGTTAAAAATTTACTTGTAGATCACAAAAATTTACCATGCATGTAGTCTACGATAAATTAAGATTTCCATCAGGTAAACCATAATTTTATTGCAAATAATCAACTATGTTATGAGAAATTCTAATTAATTAATCCAAGTATGAAATAATCAGTTATTTGACTCGCAGGGAATCTCAAGCATTCGATGTATGCAGCATAACGAATTAAGAAATTATACAGAGCAAAAACTTTACTAAAATACAAGAATTAAATCAAAAACATAAATTATACATTAAAAAGAACATTGGATAAAAAAAATTATATTTTATTGAAAGTATCTCCCCTACCTTTAGTTAGACTTTTATCCAGCCATAAGAAAAATATATCAAAAACTAGAAAAGAAAAGGTTGGGAAAAGAATAACCATCCGTCAACAAGTGAGAACTTTTATTTATACGAAAGCCTAGGTATAGATAGGAGATCTAGGGTTGGCTTGGGAGAAATCTCTTTTAAAAAAAAAGTCTTTTTAAGTCAAATCTCGTGCATCAAATCTTGGAGGCGCGGATACCATTTTTGGCCATATTTTGAGCTCAATTTTTGCATAGCTAGAGAGCAATTCATGAAATTTTTGTGAAATACACTTTTGTAGCTATTGAAATTTTTTTTTCAACCCCACAAAAATCAGGTCAATTGAATATCGGGATAAAAAGCTATGGTCAAAATACTGAATACGTGTCAAAGCCTTATCTTCTAGAATACTTTCCTAATCCTACTCTCAATGAGTTTTTTACTAACTTGGACTCTTATAAGGATTAAATTATTGTCTTATCTTTAAATCTACATCTTAATCTTGACTCTTCAATCCTTATCAACTATGATCCTTCCTTTAGTGTTTGCTTCATTTGTCATATTCATTATTACTTTAAATCAATCAAATTACCTATAAAATAAATCAAACAACTAGAAAAACTATCAAACTAAAAAGTTAAGGAATCTAACACATTTAATCACAAATAATATATAATTAACCAATCATTAAATATAATAAAATAACACTTTTAATGGTTAATCAATAGTTAGAGGTCGCCGGAGAATGGCCGGGAATCGATTGAAAAGTCATCGGAGGTCGCCGAAAGATGGCGGGGGTAGATCAGAATGGGACGCCAAAGGATGGCCTGAGTATATCAAAATTTCGTTGGAGGACGATCGAAACTTCGCCGGAGGATGACCGAAACTTCACCGGTGGATGGCCGGAGCACATCGAAACTTCGTTGGAAGAGAAAGAGTTTCAAGAGTTTTGATGTCTAGGATCCCTCGTAGGGAAACCACATAGCATACTAAGCTCTGATACCATGTGAAAGAAGAGAATAAAAAACGAATATCAATTATATATTGCTTTGGTGTACATTACCATATACATGAGGAGGTTGATTTATAGCACAAGAAAGTAGTGATGTTTCCTAGTCTAACAAATGTGAATGAAACATATAAACACTAGTTGGTATACACAATGCTTTGCACATAGACAATCTCATTACAAATATTTTGTTTAGTACCAACATTAGAAAAAAGTGATCCCGACATTACAAAGAGCTGAAGTAAGCTTAGTAAAATTGTATTTTTAATTTCTTTTTTTTTTTTGGGGTGGGGGATAGGGGATCAAATGCTTGTGTATACCCAAGGAGGAATTGTCCATATGTAAAATCATAGTTATTGATACGAGTCTTTTCCACATAAAATGGGAATTTTTTGTCACAATAGAAGCAAAAGTGATGTGGATTATTCAAGAATCGAAGTCAATTTGCTTTATAAAAAGAACAATGAACTTTTATGAAATGGTTTCATGGGATTCAGCCAATTGTCTTGATCGTGAATATCATTGAGAAATAGGAATCCGTGTTATTAACGGATTTCCTACGATTATTTCTGATATGAAATGAGTCAATCATCCACTTTGGTATCTTATTGAACAAAAATGGTGGTTGATCAGAAAAGTTTCAATGTTTATTTGCTTGGCATAACATAAATAATATTTTTCAAAGGTACATAACCCAATTCCTTTTCAGATTTTTCACTGTTCAATATAAAGCTCAAGACGCAAACATCTGACACAAAAATCCCATGAAAGTATTAGATAAGTTATTGTGATTATTGCAATTCTAACACCTTAATTTGACATGCATTAAGCAAAAATAGTAGGATTAAACTCAATAACATAGTGTCTATTTATTGATCATTCTTTTGTAAAGTTTAATCACATTTTGGAATTTTAAATACACACCCAATAAAGAGATAGACTATCTAACACACGGTTATGTCAGATATAAGACATGCTCACCTAAAAAGAGGATCACAAAATCTTACTTCTCTAGTTAGTTGTTGTTCAATACTTTTGCAGATATCTTGAGATATTTTTTCCAAGATAGAGTGGAAGAAACTAAGGACGGGTTGAAGTTGAAAGTATTTGTCCAACTAACATTCAATCAAATGGCCAAAAAACTAAACAAGTATAAGTTTCTTACAACATTATGCTTATGCACATAAATTTATGATCAAGACCATCAACATACAAAGACAAACCTACAAGCTCTTTTTTATTTTTGGGAAAACCGCAAGCCACTACACATATAAATAGGAGCAAAGGTGATTACCTAGGAATCAAGTTCAACGATATAGAAAAGATATTTTCACATCAAACAAATACATCAAGCATGAAATTTTTACAGCAATCTTTGAAACCTAGTAGGAAAGAGAGAAAAAGTTCCTTAGTTTTTCTATGGCCATAAAACTAGACATCAACTCAGGAACATTTTTAAGTTTTCTTGTAGTCACAAAAAAATTTTGGCCTACAAACATTAAAACCTCAAATAAATTCACGTCATTAAAATTAGAAGATCAAAAGTTGCCAAGTCCATTATGTGGGGAAGGAAAAAGGTGGTAGTGTACTATTTTGTTACTACTCATGACGGTATGAACATCATTAGAGTTAAAATTAATAATTAAAGTTACAATGAATACTTGAAATATTAAGTATGTGTACATAACTAATTTGCAGAGATGAAAGAATAGGAGAAGAGTATGTAATTAATTGGAGAAGATGAAAGAAAATTGTTCAGGGGAATTACATGTTTTATGAAGAATATTATAATCAATCAAAAGTTTTTCATTTACCTGCCTTTTATTACTAGTATAAATATAGATTAACAGATTGATTGATCGATGTTTGCAGGAACTACTTTAGGTGCATTCATAGGTTTGATCAAGGGTGCCAAGCAACCAAGCAGGTGCAAATAACTGAAGATGAACTAGCTATGTATCATGCCATATACCGTGGTGTTCACACATGCCACAATCTGCTCAAAGCTCCTCAAATCATCTTGGATTCTACTATTACTAAGAGTTGTGAGAAAAAGATCTTGTTGGTTGACAAACTCAATGACCCATTTACTCCATTCCTCCTCGCCTGTTTGATCGAACAGGAACAACAACTTAAGGAAGGGACTCCAAGTTTACTCCACAACCACCACCAACCATCATCATGGTCTCAGTATTTTCTGTCACTTGATCTGAGGCCATTCGAAGTGTCTGGGCCTCCCATAACTACCGTCTCAGCTGGGTCGATTGTGCATAGGGATGTGATTTCTTTCGCGGTACATTCAAGTACAGCGAACACCCACGGTTCTTTTGAGATGGATATGATGGTGGGATCTGTTGATTTTGATGATGTATTAACAGAATAGTGAACTACTAGCTAGCTATGTTTTTTTATTTTTTTTTGGTGTGGAAGACAATGTGATTTTATCTTCCTTTTTGTGTATTCGGGCTTGGGACATAAGTTAATTATATAGTTTTAAGTATGTGGGTTTCGAATACATAGCACAAATGCTCCCAAAACCAAATAATTGGTCAAAACCCTAAAAACTAAGATTCGTCTTAATTTCATTGGGGCACGTCAACTGTGGCATTATAAGGTTATACTTAGATATCGAGAGATACAATGACGATTATTCACTTTTTCACTTTTTTGAATCAAATGTGCTTGCTGATTAATTTTTTTGGTCTAGCCTAATTTTTTCTTCTTCTTGAATTAGACTTGTTGATTAACCTTTCGGGCTTAATCTAATGGTTTTTTTTCTTGACTCGCAATTTTGTGAGCTCTGTTTTTGGTACTCTAATTCATATAAGCTTTTGTTTTTGCTCTGATATATGTTTTATGTTGTTCTGTTGCTTTGCTTATTTTCTGGATAGAAAGTACAATTTAGCATATTTACGGATGTCCCATTTTTGGGTGGGTCTGCACATGAGATACTTATCTTCTCGATCAAAATTGTCTCGGTAAAATTGTTACTTTTCAACAACTGTTCAACCTTTCAACTTCATGTAGGGTTGTGCTCCATTGTCGTGTTGCACCCTTGCAAAAAGCTGGAATTGTTGACTTAGTGAAGAGTCACACTAAACTGATGATCTGATATTCACTATTGCCGATGTGAATTGCTTTGTTCATTTTCAAATGTTTTAGCATGCAGAAAAGATGCTGTCTAAGTAGAGCTTTCCCTATCCCTCCATGGTGATTATCCTTTTGAGCAAATGCTCACTACTGCCCCTCCATCTCCATCTATCTCTTCCTCCTCCCCTCCCTCTCCTACTACCTTAGTAAATATATGTGCATCCTTTTACTATTTCTCAAACCCACTCTTTTTCTACAACCCCATAAATTTACTCATTTGCCCCTCCATCTCCATCTATCTCTTCCTCTTCCCCTCCTTCTCCTACTGCCTTAGTAAATATTTGCGCATCCTTTAACTATTTCTCAAACCCACTCTTTTTCTACAACCCCATAAATTACCCATTCTTCTTGTGACCTCACCCCTTCCTTCAATAACCCATTCACCTAACCACCCATCCTTCACACCCACATTGTGTCGTGGACAAACTACAGAGTACTGATTCAAAGCTCACAATCTAGCTTAACCCAGATGAAAATACAACTTAATTCATGGAGAATAACTGCCTTGCCGGGAAAATTTATTCTGGCAAGTATATCAACAAGAATGCTGTCAAGATTATACTCAATCATTGCTAGAATGCAGCAAGCAACTTGGAAATACATGAAGGGGATGACGATACCTTTATATTTATTTTTGTAAATGAGGAAACAAAGAAGAAAATCTATAGCCAGAGCCCTTGGTTGATCAAGGGCCAGCTCCTTGTGCTCAAACAATGGACAACGACAACCCCCATAGCAGACTTGGACATCAACTCAACGCCTTTCTAGATACAAGCTCATGGGCTCTCCCCATATATGATAGCCTGATAAGACCAGGAAGAAAGATGCAAAAGAATAATCAAAATTCCCACTTCTAGGGGACTCTGTTATTAAAACTCAAATGAATACAAATTTCTCCTATGCCCATCTACCCACAGAGACTCTTATTAAATGCAGAAAAAATAGCTTAAACAACTCCTATAATCCAACCAATCAACCATTATTAATTGCAGAGTAAATCCCGTTAATTGCGGCGGGATTTGCTGCAAGATATTTTCCTTCCAAATCGTTCCATATCAATCCATCTCCCTCAAAATAGGCCTTGTTCTCAAGGTTTAAATGCTGGAAAACGCCGCTTGATATCATGCCAATATTCCCAAGTGGCGTCTTCAGGAAAGTTATTGGTCCAATGAATTAGGACCTGTGTGACTGCCCTATTATTCCTCTTAACCAACCGTCGGTCTAAGATTGCCAATGGTTCAAGTTTCACCCAACTAGCGTCATCTACTAGGGGTAGCCTTGTTTGGACTGTCACTTGTTCCCCAACTTTTTTCTTAAGGCATGAAACATGAAACACAGGATGGATGGAGGATGTCACTGGGAGTTGCAACTGATAGGCATCTTGACCCACTCATTCTAATACAGGAAAGGGGCCAAAGAACTTGGGGGCCAGCTTCTTGTTTTATCTCCATGCTAAGGATGTTTGCTGAAAGGGTTTAGAAGGAGATAGACGAGGTCCCCAACATCGAATGTCCTCTCAGTTCGTTTTGCATCTGTAACTTGTTTCATTTTATGTTGAGACTTTTGCAAATTTTTCTGGAGTAACCGGATGATTCTATCCCTCTCCCGCAGGCTATTGTTCACTGTTGCTACATTTGATTCCCCAAGCGCATAGGTAGAATAAGTAGGGGTGTGGTACAATAAATCACTTCAAAAGGAGTAACATTGGTGGAAGTGTGAAAATTTGTATTGAACCACCACTCGGCCATAAGTAACCATTTAGCCCATTCCTTGGGACAGTCCCCTATCATGCAATGAAGATACTGCTCCAAACAATGGTTCACAACCTCGGTCTGCCCGTCAGTTTATGGGTGATAGGCAATACTCATATGCAATTGGGTTCCATATATCTTGAACAATCCTTGCTAGAAGTTACTTGTGAATACTGGATCCCATTGTGAGTCCATGCAGCTTGAATATATTGTCCATGAAGGTTTGAGCAACATCTAAGGTAGTATATGGATGATGAAGTGCCATGAAGTGGGAGTACTTACTTAGCCGATCTGCCACTACAAAAATCACATCCTTCCCAAGTGAACGAGGAAGGCCCTCAATGAAATCCATAGATATGTCACTCCGAGGTCGATCCAGGATGGGGAGTGGCTGTAGGAGCCCGAGAGTTACTATGTTCTCTGACTTATTGCGTTGGCAGACATCACACATTGGCACATGTTTAAGTACATCACCACGGAGGCCCTTCCAATAATAGTCTTTTTATCCTATGTATCGTCTTTTGAACACTTGAATGCCCCCCACATGGCCCATCATGAGTCTCTTGAATAATGGTTAATTTTAAGGCTGAATTTTACCCAAGCCACAACCATCCTTTTTATAGTAACCTGTTATGTCGCCACTAGAAGTTAGGCTGCAATGTTGGGTCGACTTGTACGTCCTGGATAATAGTTTGAACCTTTGGGTCAGCTTTCCACTCATCTTGCAATTGATCAAGCCAATTTGCAACCTGGGCAAACATCGCCATTAAATTGACAGAATCTTCCTCCTGCCTTGAGAGTGCATCTGCCACTTTATTTTCACATCCACTCTTATATGATATTTCAAAGTCATACCCCAGCAATTTAGTTAACCATTTGTGTTGCATTGGTGTGGTTATGCGTTGCTCCAATAAGTACTTCAGGCTGAAATGACCCGTCTTTATTTTAAAGTGTTGCCCAATGAGATAAAGTCTTCATTTTTTGACTGCAAAGACAACAGCCAACATCTCCTTTTCTTATGTAGAGAGTCCCAAGGTTCTATCCGACAAAGCCTTGCTTGCAACTGCTGTGGGCCTCCCTTCTTGCATTAGCACTTCTCGCAACCCTATTCTTGATGCATCACATTCCACAATAAAGGTCTTTGAAAAGTCTGGCATTAGCACTACTCCCAACCCTATTCCTTAAGCTTTCTAAATGCATCACATGTTTCAATAGACTATAGAAAGTTATCATTTTTCAGCAAGTCAGTAAGTGGTTTGCTAATCTTCCCATAGTCCTTCACAAAGCATCGGTAATACCCTGTGAGACCTAAAAACCCACGGAGAGCCATAAGGGTGTGAGGTTGAGGCCACTCGACCATGCTTGCAAATTTTTTGGGGTCAATTGCAACTTCGTTGTTAGAAATAATGTGGCCTAAGTATTCCAGCTGCTTTTGCCCGAATGGGCACTTGGATCTTTTCACCAAGAGTTGATTTTGGAGTAGTACACCCAAAGTCATCTCCAAATGATGGAGATGGTCCTCCCAATTATGGCTATACACCAAATCATCATCCAAAAAGATGAGGATATATTTACATAAATAGGGTTGAAATGCCTAGTTCATCACACTTTGAAATGTTGACGGAGCATTGGTTAGCCCAAAGGGCATAACTAGAAATTCATAATGCCCTTCTTGAGTTCCAAACACCGTTTTATGTATTTTATCAGGGTGAAATTGAATTTGATGATAACCCGTATGTAAATCCAATTTTGTGAAGAATAGTGCTCCATGAAGTTCATCCAGGAGTTCATCAATAACTGTTATCAAAAATTTGTCCTTGATGGTTTCCCGATTCAATGCCCGATAGTCCACACACATCCTCCATGTGATGTCTTTCTTTTTGACTTGCAAAATTGGAGATGAAAATGGGCTTATGCTTGGCATTATGGTGCCAGCTTCAAGCATTTCTTTTACAATCTTTTCAATCTCATTCTTTTGAATATAAGGGTAGCGGTAAGGTCTCACACTAATGGCTGAACAACTTGGTTTTAGTGGGATTTTGTGATCTTGTAGCCTGCGAGGAGGTAGGCCATAAGGCTCTACAAAAACCAGATCAAACTGAGCCAATAATCCTGATAATTCAGGGTTTTCTGTTTCATTTTGTACCTGGACAAAATTTGGCTGTGATAAGGCTTGAATTGAGAATACCTGGGCCACAACTCCTTGCGTAGACTGTTGTAACAAGCGGCCAATCTTGTTTGCACCAATTAACTTTACGGGTTATGTGGTAGCACCCCTCAACACATGCCTTTTTACCTTAAAGTTAAATTACATTTTCAGGTTTTGGAAGTCCCAAAGGATAGGTCTGAGGTTGGTGAGCCATTGAACACCAAGGACCATGTCACACCCACCTAAGGGTAAGAGTTGTATGTCTGCTTCGAACTGGGTCCCTTGCATAACCCATAGTAATCGACGACACATGGTAGAGCTAGCAACTCTAGTGTCGTCTACTACAACCACAAATAAGGGGCTGGTTTGATAGGTGGTGCACCCTGTTTGTTTGGCTACTTCCGGCTTAAGAAAGTTGTGTGTGCTTCCTGAATCAATCAAAATGGTAATTGGCTTCCGTTTCACAAATCCTCTCACCCATATGGTCTGGTATGATGTAGAGCCCGTAAGAGCATGGACTGAGATGACTAGTTCGTCTGTTGGAATATCTACGGTGCCTTCAAGGGGTTTGGCCATGGCATCTTCAAAATGTTCCATTTTTCTTGGGGCTTATCTACTTCTAAAAGGAATAGTTGTTGTTTTCTACACCTATGGCCAATGACGTATTTCTCGTCACAATAGTAACAAAGGTCCTTTGCAAGTTGTTCCTCCATTTGTGCTGATGAGATTCTCCTTATAGGTGGCAGTGATGACTTGGGTTCAGATTAAGAAAACCCATTTTGAAGGGTGTTGGTTGGCGTCAAAGAAGCTCGAGCTTGACATATAACATCATCCATGGTCTCCTCTTGTAACCGGGCTAACCCTATTGCATGAGAAAGGCTAGTTGGCTCAAACAATATAACTCCAGTTCAAATTTCCTCACGTAGGCCACTAGTAAAGCACTGCACAAAGAAATCCTCTATTAACCCACGTGTTCTTGTCATTAAAGCTTCGAATTGCTCCTGATAAAGTCTCACTGCACCAGTTTGCCTTAATTTCTTCAATTGGCCAATAGTATTATCATAATAGCCAGGACCGAAACGCAAGCACAGGTCCTTAGAAAAGATCTTCTATGTAATATGATGTTTGGCAACCTCATAGCTCTGAAACCAGTCAACTGGTATACCTTCAAGGTGAATGGAAGCTACATAGACCTTATCCTCCTCGTTGATGTGGTTGTACATGAAAAATCTCTAGTAGTGGTATACCCAACCATTGGGGTTTTCACCATTGAAATGGGGAAAATCCAGACAGGCATATCTAGTCTGAATTGCTTCACGGATAGAAATTTGTTGCCCTCCTAGTGGAGTCTTCGAAACACGAGATGTCTCCTCTTGCCCTTGCTCATTGATCAACAAAAGGTGGGTAGCTAGCTGATCATACTTGATGTTGATCGTAGTAACTAATTGTTTCAAGTCTTTCATGTCTGCAACATGGCGTTCAGTAAGGCTCTTCATATCGGCAGCTTGTCGGTTAGAGTTCTCTTTCAAAGTGCAAATACTCTCCTCCATACGCTTAACTTCTTGCGCCCTAGTCCCCTTCGCCATTATCGCATGTACAGGGCAGGAACAGTGCTCTAATACCAATTGATAAGACAAGGAAGAAAAATGCAACAAAATAAGCAAAATTCCCACTTCTAGGGGGAAACCCTATGTTATTAAAACTCAAAAGAATACAAATTTCTCCTATGCTTACCTACTCGTAGAGGATCCTAATAAATACAAAAACAATAGCTTTATCAACTCCTAATCAGCTCCTAGAATCTAGCCAATCAACCTTTATTAATTGTAGTATACATCCCGCTGATTGCGGCGTGATTTGCTACATGATATTTTCCTTCCAAATCGTCTCATATCATAGCCAGTGCAAACAAAGAAAAAATTGCCCAAAAACTGTCTGAAAAAATTACCTACGCACCCACTTTGAACTCGCTTCTAGATGCCAATGAAGGAAGGCCCTAGAAGATTGATCTAGCTCCGATACAAAAGATTGGGGGATTTTTGTTATAGATGTGGAAGAATTGGCCATGAAAAACCTAATTGCATCTTTGAACCACTAGTAGACAAGCACACCAAATACGATCAGCAACTGTGAGCATCCTTATGGAAAATTGGGAATATTCATCACACAACAAAGGTTCATCTTTAGCCAGAAAACTCATCGGAAAAAGAATTGTCACCACCAACCCTGGAAGCCCATGAGACTCCACGTTTGGATTGTGCATTACCACATGCCAGCAGCAAGGACACTTCCCAAAAATCGTTGGAGACGTGCGCACTACCACTTGCAATCATTCCTACACAAATACATGTGGCACACCAACAATGGACAACAAGGTAACAAACTCCCAACCTGCCTTTGCAATTGTTCCACCATTCCTCTTCTTACTTTTTCAAAACCCTAAAACAACTACAAATCCCTTAACCCCCCTGGTGCAGTCTAGTGATATACTACCCATGGGCCACAAAAAATAATCCTCCCTAATACCAACAACCGACAAACCAAAAGCCCAAACCATTCCTCAGATGCCCATAACCTAAGCCCACCAAACCAAAGCCCCATCATAAATCAAACACCATCAACAACCACTTCAAACACAAAACAAACCTTTAAACAGTCCACCTAACTTGCTGATCACCCGCCAAAATCCACAATCCTCACCCCATCTCACAGAAACCATAACCACACTAGAAACTTAATTCTCAACCATTCTACATAATTGTCTTGCTTCGGTATTCACTCACTTATCACTAAAATGCATAGCCTTCGAAAACAAGATAAATCTACTTCTCACAAATTTTATCAAAGAAAGGATGGAATCATAGCAGCGAGAGTGTAGGAAAATGATGAAAAATATGCTAACCAACCAGACTTGATGATTCATCAGACCCACCAGATACCCCAACCATCCTCAATGATCCATTAGTCGTCACAGAGGATCACATAACTAGTAAAAAAAAGTCAATAGAAAACCACTCAGACACTTCACTTACAAGAGAACAACCACAAAACTAGAACTCTTACATAAACTCTTCGTGAAACAACTGCAGAATTGACTGATGAGACCACTACTATGGTTGAGGAGTGGGCCTAACCACACCCCCACCCCCTCAATGATCATCTACGCTAGGAATTGTCAAGGGTTTGCCCATGTCTTGACAATTCGACACCTAAGAGCTGAAATAAGAGAACACTACCCAGGCATTCTCCTCCTCTCAAGAACAAAAATAAACACCTAAATAACCAAAAAAAATCATTCTCAGCCTCGATTTTTATGACTTTGAAATCCAACCAGCCAAAGACCTATATGGGGGACTCTGTTTATGTTGGAGGAAAGGTGTAGACCTTGAAATCATCCTATCCAACTACAGCATAATCTCAACGGTGATCTTCTTTGACCCTCCAGACGCACAATGACCAGTTAATTGTGTTTACACCCTAGCTAATCAAAGAAAGTAGCATCAACTATGGGACACAATGAACCAAATAACCACTGACACATCACACCCTCTCCTTTTCCTAGGAGACTTCAACAATGTCATTTCCCAAGATGAAAAAAAAGGTGCAAATTGTTTGCATTTGCCTCAAAAGAAGGATTTAACTCCTTAATACATAACTAGGGGTTGGTGGATCTAGGCTTCAATGGTAATTCATTCACTTGGTCCAATAAGTGTGAAGGACTAGAAAACATAAAGGAAAGGTTGGACAGAGGCTTATCTAGCTTGGAATGGAGGTCACTATTTCCCAAAGCCACCATCAAACACCTACCTACTATCACATCAAACCACTCGCCACTGTTACTAAACACATATGGAGACCTATCCAACTTCCCTAAGCTATTCAGATTTGAACCTATGTGGATTAAATATTAGGCCAGTCACCATGTAGTCAAAGAATCCTGGAAAACATCAGTTAGGGGATCAACATCATACAGGTTTTACAAAAAAATTCAGTCAACAAAGCAGGTCTTAAAGCATTGGAATAAGACACAGTTTGGCAATTGTATCCAAAGAGCTAGGAAAATCAAATTAAGAATTGATCAACTCCAACAAGCTGAGCCTACACAAAATAATATACTTGAGGAAAGAATACTACAAGTTGATGCGCAACCAAAATTCTTCCACACAACCAAAATCATCAGAAGGCGCAGAAACTCCATTAACTGCTTGAAAATTCCAAATAGAAATTGGGTAACACAGAGAGAGGAGATAGGTAACTAGTTCCTAACTCATTTTTAAACACTTTTCATTTCCTTTGAACCTCAATTCTTAGCATACGTTGAAGGACTCATTGAGCCTATTGACTGCCTTGACCAATACCTTGAATTCTGTGTCATTCCTACCCCAGATAAAATAAGGGCCACACTCTTTTCAATGTCTTCATTCAAATCACCAGAACCAGATGAAATGTCCTTCATCTTCTACAAAATATATTGGCACACTACGGGAGGAGACCTTGTGGATATGGTTAGGGTTTTTTTTGTAGGAGGTTGTATTCTCACTAAGCTAAATAGAACAAATATATGCCTTATTCCCAAGTCCTCTAAATCAATGAAAATTCATCACCATATAAACCCATTAGTCTTTGCAATGTGACTTACAAATTGATATCCAAAATCCTTACAAATAGGCTAAGACCTTTTTTGGATCAGATTATAGCCCCCAACCAAACTATTTTCACACCAAGGAGAGGGATTGCTCAAAATATAGTCTTAACTCAAGAAATTGTTAATCTTTTGAAAAAGAAAAAAGGGAAAGGAGCTCTAATGCTTTTAAAAATTGATATGTCAAAAGCATTTGACAAGGTGGAATGGCCTCTCTTACTATGCATTCTCACCATGCTTGGATTCCCAACACAATGCATCACAACACCCACATTCTCAGTCCTTGTTAATGGAGGTCCTTTGGGAAATTTCAAGTCCCATAGAGGACTCAAGTAGGGGGATCCCCTATCCCCATCCCTTTTTATAAATGTACTGAGCTTTTGTCTAGATTGTTACACAGGGATGCAATGCAGGACAAACTGAAAGGAATTAAACCAGCCAGAAATTGCAGCCCTATCACTCATCTCATGTTCGCAGACGATCTTATCATTTTCGAAATAGCAAATCCCAAGGGAGCTAGAAGCATCCAGAATTGCCACTCCACCTATGCAGAATGGTTAGGCCAGGAATTCAATAGAGAAAAATCACATGCATATTACAACCCTAATGCTCCAAGAGACTTAATCAGATCAGTTAAACACATCTTGGGATTGAAGAGAGGATCTCCCACAACTACATACCTTGGATTGCCACTAATGAGAAGCATATCTCCCACAATAGATTTTCAATCAATCTTACAAAAGTTAGATTCGAAGCTACAAGGTTGGAAGACAAAATTGCTCTCATATGCTTGGAAAGCCACATTGATAAAATCTACTGCAATAGCAATGCCAATTTATGCAATGCAGTCCACGTTACTCTCAATGACAATCTGTAATAAGTTGGATTGTAAAATTCAAAATTTCTGGTGGGGATCAATTGAGGAGAGGCAAGCTATGACGGTCAAATCAAGGGATTTCATATGTAGGCCGAAATCAGTTGGAGGTCTGGGATTTAGAAAGATGCAAGGCATTAAGCAATCATTTAAGGCAAACTGGGTTGGCAATTACTTGCAAACAATGCCAAACTCTCGTCTGAACAGCTTTCCAAAAAGTATTGCTCTAGGTATGGGTTTCTTCATGTCCAAAAACACCAAGTGACTAATCAATTTGGAAGCAGATCCTTGACTATAGGCCACTAATCATCAAAGGTGCATGTCATATAGTGGGCGATGGGAAATCAATTGATGTATGGACTGAGCCTTGGGTAACAAATCTACCAGATTTCAGGGTTGAATTGCAGCAGGATGGAGACATTATCCTCAGGAAGGTTGCTGAATTGATAAATACTAGCACACCAACGTGGAACAGAGAGTTACTCACATCCCTCTTCTCACAGGAAACTGTCCAAGCCATACTGAAGAAACAACTCCCGGCCTATCCAAGTGAAGGCAGATTGGCTTGGATACTAGAACAAACAGGAAAATTCAGCACAAAATCGGTTTACAAAGCACTAAGAGTTGTAGGGACCTACAAGAACATTATCTGACTGAACATGACTGAAGAAAGTTATGGCATGCCCCAATACATGAGAGACACAAGATGACTTTATGGAGAATGACTACTGCAAGCATCCCCACCAAAATTCTTTTAAACAGCAGGATGTATATTCCAGAGACCGTTTGCCCACTATGCCAAGAACATGCTGAAACTGATGTTCATCTATTTTTCCCTTGCCCTCTACCCAGAATGATTTGGTCTGCAAAGTGGGGAATCAAAACAGACTCCTACTCACATCTGAGTATTAATGAATGGATACACCCCTTACAGAACACAACAGTCCTCTTTGGCCCAAACAGTCCTCATTACACAGAACTTATCATTTTTACTGCCATTCTCACATCCACGTTATGGAACTGGAGGAATAAAATTCTATGCAGGAAAGAAATGAAGGAACCACAATTCTGCATCAAGTACACCAGCAAGTGCTTCTGTCCTTTGACGAATTTCTTATTGCAAGAACAAGACTCAGTGCTCCAACCTTGAAGCAAATACAAGCACATGATCCTATCCATAAACAGTGGAGAGCACCTATGGAAGGTGAAATCAAGATAAATTTTGATGCAGCGATTGGAAAAGATGGATCATGTACAACTGCAATAGCCAGAGATGGACATGAGACTATTCTGGAGGTTGCATTAAATATGAAAGATTGCACAGATCCTCTTATAGCAGAAGCATTGGCTGCTAGACATGCAGCAATTTGGGCAGAGAGAAAAAGCTGGAATTATGTGACTATAGAGGGAGACTCACATAGCGTCATTCATGTTGCAATGCTATCACTCCAAAGTGGACTATTCACACCATTGTTCAAGATCTTAAGCTCGTTCTGGAAAATCACCTTGGGGGGCATTACACATACCAGAAGGAGAAATGATGAAGCAGCACATGAGTTAGCAAAATGGGGGCTTGCTATGCAATTCACGGGGTGTTTGCCACCAGATGGTTTGCCACAAAATAGGCCTCTTTTTGTGCATGGGCGAAGGCCTTTAGATCTTCTTCAGTTAAATGCTGGATAAAGTGATTTTGATGAGGAATAATAGATTCATCTTGTTTGCATATTTGGGATTTTTTTTTTTTGTAGAACTGTAGGTACCAGCCAGGTGATGATTCTATTCTGTGACTATCTGACCCAATAACATTCTTCTTGCATCATATGTTAGCTGTACAAGTTTAGAAACCATGTTGAGGACCATAAATGTATATCATTTGGCTTCTGAATTATCTTTTTATATTTATTATGTTTTACAATCCGTAGGCTTTCCATGAAGGGTTGGCCTTGAAGTTGTTACTAGAACAATCATTAGATGTGAATCATTCCAAAAAAAAAAAAATTTTAACTGTACTTAAACTTTCTGTCACCACTACAATTCGAGACCACCGTGGTTATTTTGTGATTAATGGGGTTAGTAATTTATGGGCTATGCATACAGGGCGGTGCCAAACATCTTCTCCGCTGGGGCAACAACATTTAAAATTTAAAATGTTCACAAAAGTATACTTTTATTAATAAAACGTCAATTAAAGGCATAACTCATATACATGAGTGATACACAAAAGAAGCCAACAAAAAAAAAAAACTCACTATAAATTTATTTATAAGACATAACAAAAAAAATTTTAACTGAAAAATTGGACTCAATCATATATTGAGTCTATAATGAGAGAATCCAATTTGTAGAACATCCCGTAAATATTCATAGTTGCTCTCAATGACTTTTCATATTTTGAAAGTGATGTATAATAATTTCATTATCAATGGTACTTAAAATTTCTTTCTCGGCATATGTAACCAAGCAATTGTTCATTCATTGCTCTATCGTTCAATTACGCAATTTATTTTATAAAAATTAATTTATTCAGTCACAAACTTAGTATTCATCAGCGAATTTTAACAAACAAAAAAACTAACTGGAATTATGACTATTCTATTAAACTAAACATAGGTATAGGAATTACTCAACCTATAACAACAAAATTATTCAAACCACCAAATCAAAACAATTTAATCTAACACATAATGGAGGATTACACACTCCAATTCCAATTCAACATATAAGAATAAAACAAAAGAGGGGACTACAAGCACCAATTATAATTTAACATAAAAATAAAACACAATAGAGGACTACAAACTCTAATATCAATTAACTATATTAAAAAAAAAAAACCATAGAAGAGAACTAAAAGTCCTGGAGGCAGTTGTTCCCACTATGGATCTGCCGCTGAATGCATTCGAGTGTAAGCTAGGATCTCAAGATAATTAATGTACCATTAGGTAACCTTTTTTTTTAAATAATAATAATAATTTTGTAGAGTAATTAGATCATTTCATAAAAAAAATTAAAATAAAAAGTATGGTTTCGTTGTTATTTTGTAAAAGTAATTGGAACGAATTTAGTATGACTAAAATATTAATCATATGTGTGATTAAGATGGAATAAGTCTCAACAAGAAAGAGATAAAACATAACAATACGTTATCAGGTTATTTAGAAAATGCACAACAAAATAAATAGTTAAACAAAATGCCATCAAATGATACTGAAATTTATCAATAATTAATAAATTAATAATAATATTTAAACTTATTTTGTTGACATAATCCATCGTAATCATTCAATAGATTGTGAATTTCAATTAAAATTGAAATTTAGTGTTAATTTAATTGCTATATATAATTAAATCTAAGTACCATTACTCTTAATATATAACCAAATCCCAAAAAACAAAAAAAAATGTGTCATCAGCCATGTGCTTTTTTGACCTCGTTTATTAAATGCAGCGTCTNCAATTTTGTGAAGAATAGTGCTCCATGAAGTTCATCCAGGAGTTCATCAATAACTGTTATCAAAAATTTGTCCTTGATGGTTTCCCGATTCAATGCCCGATAGTCCACACACATCCTCCATGTGATGTCTTTCTTTTTGACTTGCAAAATTGGAGATGAAAATGGGCTTATGCTTGGCATTATGGTGCCAGCTTCAAGCATTTCTTTTACAATCTTTTCAATCTCATTCTTTTGAATATAAGGGTAGCGGTAAGGTCTCACACTAATGGCTGAACAACTTGGTTTTAGTGGGATTTTGTGATCTTGTAGCCTGCGAGGAGGTAGGCCATAAGGCTCTACAAAAACCAGATCAAACTGAGCCAATAATCCTGATAATTCAGGGTTTTCTGTTTCATTTTGTACCTGGACAAAATTTGGCTGTGATAAGGCTTGAATTGAGAATACCTGGGCCACAACTCCTTGCGTAGACTGTTGTAACAAGCGGCC